GGGGAGAAGGGACTGGATCCATGTTTAGGACTGTGCTTTGAAGAGGAGCTTATTTTCCAGAGAGCCTGGCAGTGAAGCTGTGGCAGCCACTAAAGAATTTCAGGTTCTGTGATGTTCAGAAACACAGCATCTGAATTCTTTGAGAAGAAATTATAGAAACAAATTTCTTGACTCAGTAAGCTGTCTGTGAATGAAAGACATTATCACTTATGTGCACTGGAAGATCTGCAGATGCTATCCGCCCTGATTTATTTACTTTAAAATTGTTAAATTTATTTATTTATGGGGAGGCAGTGACCATGGGAAGCATGAACATGAGGGTCAGAGAACAACTTGAAGGTATCTGTTCTCTCCTTCCTCCATTTGGGTTCTGAAATTGAAGTCACTTCAGCTTGGTGGGAAGTACCCATACCTGATGAGCTATCTTGCCAGCCCTTATTTGTTTATTTATTTATCTATCTATTTATGTATTTAGAGACAGGGTCTTATGTAATCTAGTCTGGACTTGAGCTAGATATCTAGCTGAGGTTGGCCCTGAACTTCTGATCCTCCTGCCTCTACCTCCAAAGTCCTGGGATTACAAGTAGTGCCACCATGCCCAGTTTATTCGGTGCTGGGATTGAGTACTGGGCCTCACGCATGCACTCTACCACCTGAGTTACATCCCCGGACTCCTTGATAGTGCTTTAATAACAGTTTTTATTTTAAAGCTCTGCCTATGGCTTAGAGGTAGAATGCTTTCCTAGAATGAATGTGGCTCTAGTTTATATTTCCAGCAGCAACACACACACATACATACACAAATACAATATAAGAATCCCATCGTGGTTATCAGAAAGAATTCTTGCTAGAACAACCACTTGCAATCACTTTCATTGATGACCCCCCCCCCCCGCCCCCCCTCCCCCCACTGACTCTCTGGAGGATTCTTTGAGCGAAGCATGAAGGATGAGTTCAGCTTCTTAGATTAGAAAATGTAACCTTCAGCAGGGTGAGATAAATCCACCTCAGGAATCTGATTCATTTTTTTTTAATTTTTTTTATTTTTCGAGACAGGGTTTCTCTGTGTAGCTTTGTGCCTTTCCTGGATCTCGCGCTATAGACCAGGCTGGCCTTGAACTCACAAAGATCCACCTGGCTCTGCCTCCCAAGTGCTGGGATTGAAGGCGTGCGCCACCACTGCCCGGCAGGAATCTGATTCTTGTCCTGAGTTCTTTCTGTTATTGGAAAGAGATAATACATTAACTCTGCTCTGTGAACTTCAACTTGGCTGTCTTACAGACTGGGCCAGATAGTAGCCTTGACAAGTACCAGGAAGAACTCATTAAGCTTCAGGATTCTACTCTGACTGTAGGTCAGGAGAGCACTTTTGATTACTCATTGAAATAGATAGTTAAAAAAAATCATATCTGATCCTATTTCAAAAAAAATTTGAGACAGGGTCTCACTATGTAGACTGGGCTAACCTTGAACACAGAGATCCTCCTGCCTCTGCATCCCAAGTTCTGGGATTACAGGCATGCGCTTAATGTATTTTCAAAATTTATTAATTAAGCTGGGCATGGTAGTGGACACCTTTAATCCAAGCATTCAGGAGGCAGAATCTCTGTGAGTTTGTGGCCAGTATGATATACATTTTGAGTTTCAGGACAGCCAGGGCTTCATAGTGAGGCCCTATCTCAAAAATAAAAAATAAAAACAAAATAAAATTATTAATTCATATAAAAGTCACTCTTTGTCTATTTGTTAAACATATTGACTTAGTTAATTCGCCTCCCTCCATTCTTATCTATTTATTTATCAGCATAACAGTTTTCTTATTATCATAAAATCACTGTGCTTTTATGTTTATTGATTGGCTTTTTTTTTTTTTTGAGACAGAGTTTCTCTGTATAGCTTTGGAGCCTGTCCTGGAACTCACTCTGTAGCCCAGGCTGGCCTCGAACTCACAGAGCTCCGCCTGCCTCTGCCTCCCGAGTGCTGGGATTAAAGGCGTGAGCCACCACCACCACTGCCTGACTTTATTGATTGGCTTTTCCACTGTGATTTTTTTTTTCCTATGGGAACATATCCCATCTTTGAAGTTTATGAAGTAATCACCAATCTCATATACTCTACAATGCGAATTTATGCTTCTTAGAAAGATGTTTACTTTTTTCCAACTCAAATTTATATTGTTATCAATGAAGTAACTATGTAAATTATTTTTGATCAAATTAGTAATCCATTGCCTAAACTTTAGTAGTTCTTAACCCCTGCTGTTTGTCAGCATCTTCTGGGAAGATTTTCCACTGTTGAGTGATGTTATGTGGAGTCATAATCTAGGACCCTTTATGATCCTCATCTCTGGGAGCAGTGGGGAATGAGCAGCGGGGAATAATATTTTCACATTATTAATATTTTACATTATTATATTATGGCTCCTGTGAAGTGCAGTGGTGCAGACAGGTGTGAGGACCACTGACCAGGTAGAGCCCTGAGGGTCTACAAGTCAACCTTGGAAGCCTTCACTCACTCATGCAAGTCCTCTCATTCAAAATCTCTGAAATACCTTGGAGAGATGATGCTTGGACATGTTTTCCTCCCATCCTTTCACCTGTTTATTCCTGGAAACACTCACTCTGGTCCTGCCTGCACTCTTCTGTGTCCACTCGCTGTGGGCTGTCAGCCCTCTCACACCGTCCAGTTATCTTCTGTGATGATGCTGACTCCTCCTTCGGCCTCCACAACAGCTCCCCATTCTCCTGCCTCCCTCTTTGATCCTTCTTAAGGACTTTGTACATTTCCTCTTGGAGTGTCATTCACTTCCTTTATGCTTCCAAATGTTAGGACACTTGCATCGTGAACAAATGTCTATTTTCTTCCTCTCTTCTTTTCATTTTTCCCTCTGTCCTTCTCCTCTACTTCCAAGACTTTTAGGATCATTGAACAGCTTCTAGGGCTGGAGAGTTGGCTCAGAAATTAAGACAATTGGCTGCTTTTCCAGAGGATCTGGGTTCAATTCCTTACACACACATGGTGGCTCACAATCATCTATCACTCCAGTTCCAAGGGATCTGATTCCCTCTTCTGGCCTCCATCTTCTGCCTGCATGTATGCACAACTGAAAAATCAGGCAAAAGACCTATACACATAAAATAAAAACAAAATAAAACAACAACAACAACCACAACCCCACTAAGCTCCTGAAGATTCATCTTCAGCCCAGATGTCTACTGGAGATTTCAAATCAAAACGTCAAATCTGACTAATTAGCCTGTATTATTTGTCTTGGGTTTGTCCTTCTCCCTTGCCCTTCCTGCAGCTCCTGTGTGCTGATAGTTCAACCTACTCAACATCTCCAGTGCTTATTTTTATTCTCACTACTGTAACCCCAGAGCCCATTGAGAAACAGTTGTTTTCTCCTGTTCATTGTTCCCTCTGACTTACTATTCAATGCTTACCAAAGCAACATCATTTCTTTCCTTCTAAGTTTGAAAGGATCACATGGTCACTCGGAAGAGGCAAGGAGGGATAACCTGTTTTCACCTGAGTCTGACCCTTTTGTCCCTGATTCATTTCCTGCTGCTCTGTGTTTCTCCACTGTCCACAGGAGAGAAAGAGAGGCGGTTTCCTAATCCCTGGAGGAGGAAGAAAGGGACTGTCAAGGTCAGATGCTGTGGTGTGTCTAGGTGTTGCAGGAGTCATCCACCAAACCAGAGCTCAAACTATGAACCTGTTATCACAGAGCCAAGTCCGTGCTGACTCCACCTCTCCTAGCTCATAGACAGCTCACAGATGCTACCGACCCACCTTCAGGAGGGGATATGCTCTGCCTTAGCTCCCAACTCTGCAGAAGGAGGTAGTACTACCCTCCTGAGGATATATTTTTAATCTGGCCCAATATTTATTGTTTACCTGGGATTGTGTTCTGTGAACCACACCCTGCATGACACTGTACTGAGGTAAAGGCAGCTGAGTAGACTTCCTGATTGTTGGCCTGGCCTGAAAGAGAGAGAGAGAGAGGAGAGGCAGGGAGGGAAGGAGGAGAGGTGGAGGAGGGTGTGATGTATACCTTTGTGTGCCTGTGCATGGTCCTTAGGTCTCTCTTCTTAACCTCAGCTTGAACTTTCTGTCTATCAGAGAGAAAACAGATGAGAAGAGTGTCCAGAAGCAAAATGTTCTCCTTGTTTATGGAGGAAACTGTGAGGAGATTTTGTGGTGTGTGTGTGTGTGTGTGTGTGTGTGTGTGTGTGTGTGTGTGTGTGTGAGACAAGGTCTGTCTGTTCTGGAATTCACCATATAGACCAAGCTGGCCTGGCCTCAAACAGATCCACCTGCCTCTGCCTCTGCCTCTTCCCCTTGAGTTCTGGGAACAAAACTATACCATCACAACCAGCTGTGAGGAGATTTTTAAAGGGTTGGAAGCACCTGGTTGGTAGGCAGAGTCCAGTGGGATAAATCAAAAAGGGAGACCAAGCCGTGAAAGTACAATGTGATGAAGAATAACGTGAACAAAGTTTCTGGAAGAAGGCTTCCACAGCCACTGCAGGCATCAGGTGTGCCAGTCTAATGGGGAAAGGAAGCCACAGCTGGATCTGAGGTGACTGTTTGGGGTGGGCAGCAGTTGTGTGCTCTTGTCTCTTCCTTCTTTGTGGTAACCCCAGAAAGAGAGTGACCAGGGAGAAAACATTTCAGATACATTATCTCTGTGCTTTTAAGGTTTCAAAGTAGTGTGTCCTGGAATTGTGGACATAAAAAAGACAGAGAATGAAAATCTGGCAAGAATCAGTTGCTATGAATGTGTAAAATACTTTGTAGGAAATCAGAGGTGTGCATCATTGTCATTTGTGAACTCTGATGCTGTTGGAGATGTCTGTAAGTTGTCACTCTGTGGACTCTGATGCTGTTGGTGATGTCTGTGAGTTGTCATTCTGCAAACTCTGATGCTGTTGGTAATGTCTGTAAGTTGTCACTCTGTGAGCTCTGATGCTGTTGGTGATGTCTGTGAGTTGTCACTCTTTGTGAGCTCTGATGCTGTTGGTGATGTCTGTGAGTTGTCATTCTGTGAACTCTGATGCTGTTGGTAATGTCTGTGAGTTGTCACTCTGTGAGCTCTGATGCTGTTGGTAATGTCTGTGAGTTGTCACTCTTTGTGAGCTCTGATGCTGTTGGTAATGTCTGTGAGTTGTCACTCTGTGAGCTCTGATGCTGTTGGTGATGTCTGTGAGTTGTCACTCTTTGTGAGCTCTGATGCTGTTGGTAATGTCTGTGAGTTGTCACTCTGTGAGCTCTGATGCTGTTGGTAATGTCTGTGAGTTTACCTAGATGCTCAGATTATCTGCCTTAAAAACATTGCTGTATTCCATGGTCAACTGTTCACAGGCATCAGATAGCCTATCAGGCCTCCTCTCCTCTGCCGTGCATCACAGGTCTTCAGGCATTGGAAAAGCTGATAACATGCTTTGTGTCAAAAGATTTCTGCTCAAACAGGCATTTTGTGGGATTTCCAAGTTCATTTCAGGCCCCAAGTCTCTGAGAAGGTGGAATAGGGAGAATGTCAGAACAATCCTAATTTCAATTCCAGAGAAGAGCAGCGCAACAGGCACCCCCTCACCTGCCTATGTCATCACACCAGCAGATATAGGATACAACAGAAGGCTAGGATCTACATGAGCCTGCCTCTGTAGGTCACCTCTGCCATTTTCTGTTCGTATGGTGTCTCACAGGATTGTTTTCCAGGTTTGTCTCAGGAGAAAGGTGGAGCCTGAGTATGAGAGAAGTACCTAGGGATCTCAAGTCCTCAGCTGGTGGTCTGTCCCTTTGGATAATGGGACAATAGCCTTCTTGGCTACAGACACACTAAAAGATTACTATTCCTGAGAACTGAGTCTTCAAACTCAGAAAGCAGATGATAGAAATAGAATCGAAGGTGTGTGTGTGTGTGTGTGTGTGTGTGTGTGTGTGTGTGTGTGTGTGTATGCATGTACATGCAGTAGTTTAAAGAACACTGGGTATATAAATAAGAGAGCTGGGACTAGATATGAAACGTTGCTCTGCCATTTAGTCACATGGGTAAAAAAGACTTGGTCACTTATATGCTAACATCTCAGCTTCTGCCTTTCCTCTTTGGCATGGAACAGCCTAAAACAATGACTGGCATGCTGTATTTTCTTTGTGTCTAAGATCTGAAATCAGGAAGGATAGCTTGTTTTTCAGGATGTCGGACGTAAATTATACTGAATTCTTCTAGATCTGAGCAGTTCTCACTCTTCCTGCTAACTGAATGTGTTCTCTCTCAAAAGCAAGCTTTCTTGTTGGATAGCTTGGGAGGAGAAAGGCAAAAAGGGCAGTCAATGATTGAGGAATAAAAGTAGACCCTCTCAGCCTAGGCTCCCTCCTCCATAAATTTTTTCCTCATTTAAAGTATTCAACTCCTCTGCCCCATAGCTCATAACGATTAATAACTCCCTTGACCCATTGTATTTTCCAGCAGGTGGGTCACTTGGATCTTTGAAAACCACCTTGCTGGCAGATCCACAAGGGCTGTTATATAGATGCTGAGACTGGGGATGAAGCTTCAGACAGACAGAATCACACCTCAGTGGAACAGAGTCAGATGTCGTCGCAGGGAAGTTTCCACAGCACGTGTAGAAGTTTTGTTCCAGCAGGGCAAGTTTGATTTTCAAAGGACACGGCTGTACTATGGTGGGGAAAGTTTCTTTTGGAAACTTGTGGGTAGATTGGTGACTGTGTCTTGCGGGTGGTGGTGGTGATGACACTGTGCTAACTAAACAGAAAAGTCTGGAACAAGGATTGTGTTATTGTTGCAAAAAGATTTGCCTCTGATGTATTGAAACAGGTGCAGAAATGCCCTGTGGTTTGTGATTGTGTTGTGAATCCATGTAGCAGTTGGAGAGTTGGTATTGATATTTAGTTAAATTCTAGTTATCACAAACTTCTATATTCTTCAGAATGTTGTCTTGCAACTAATCAGGGCCTTCACCCACCTTTCATTCTCATGCTCTTTGTATTGTGTCTCCTTTGTCGCTGTGTGATGGATTCTCAATTCAGGTGGGGGAATTAAACCTTTTACAGGAAAATTAAGACATTGAAGTAGCTGAGAGGAAATAAAGCAAGGAATAACAATCCACAGGTGAGGCAATATTCTTGTTTCAGATAGAATTCTGCCTGGCGAGATTTGGCATACACAGATACATGCAAACTATAGGCAAGCTATATACAAACATGTTTTGCAACTGTCAAATGATGATGAGAATAAAGAACATCACAGCTGTAAGAGTTCCTTTATTCCAATGCATGCCTTTTGTTATTTGTTGCACTATGGACTAATGCTTTACATTCTTAACTATTTTGCAGTCCATATAAGAGAAGCTGTAGCCATGCTATAATTTTTAACAAGATAAGAAAATTATCTAAATATTAATATAGTGTTGTTATGAATATGGTCTTAATATATAATATATTTATAACTTATATTATTAATCCATTAGTGTTCTTCTCAGGTACCTAAGTGACATATCTTACCCTGTAGGTAGATGCCACATGGGATTTAAAGATTTATTAGTGGTTATGGGCTATGGGACTTAGGACTCCAACACTTAACTATATTATACCTATTTATTGGTATTATGAATTAATTTAATATATTTACTATGTAAGTATAAATGTTGGCTATAGGATTCTTCTAAAAGAGCCAGATTAAGTCTTCAGAAGAACCATCCCAGAGGATGGCATCAAGGCATGCCTTTTCTCAGCTTGATACAGACCAATAGACAAAGCCATTTGCTAATCAGTTACTAATTTCAGGGGGAAAGTGGTATAGCAAGTAATCTTGCTGTGACAACCAACTGTGAATATCTTCCTTTTGTATGAACTTGGAGGGATACAGGGTCTATGTGGCAAGGTTTTATGCTTATTTTATGACTATCTGGGTATGCTTAGTAAGTATGCCTGGTGTGCAAATTTTAAAAATCCTGGACTCATTTGTTACATGACTTTTGGCAAACTACAACTTGCCATGATGCCTGTGTGGAAATCAGAGGCCAAATTTTGGAGATCTCACTTCCACCATGTGGGTCCTGGGGATTTAGCTTAGATTGTCAGGCTAGCACAGCAAATACCTTTTCCCAAAAGTCTTCCCCCCAGCCCATATGAATATCTTGGAAGTTGCTTCACAGAGTACATTTGCTTTCTCACCCTAGCATCCAGTTTCATTGGCTTGCTGTGTGTGTATTAATAATCCTAGTTTCCTTAAACTACCAGAGACAAGGAGAAGCCATGGTGAGAACCTGGCTCAGAAAGTAAAAGTGAAAGCCACATGGTATCTTAAGGTGGATGTTCTGTATCTCCAGGCATGGAGGAAGAAGGGAGGGTTTGGGTCACCGAGGGAAGGTGTGTTTGGCCATAGCCAGTTCAGCGTGGGGTCTGTGCATGTCTTCAGGTTACTTCCTTATGTGCTAGTGGGCGTGTAGTTTGGTTTTCGGGCAGAGCTCACAGTCTGAGCTGGCTGCTGACTGACTTTTTTTCCATTTGTACTGTGTAGAGAGATTGTGTTCCTAGCACCTACTCCCCAGAGAGCCAAACTCGTTCAACTGGCTGCTCCCCGAACAAAAATAATTACTTATATCTGATAAGGTCCTGCAAAGGAAGCGAGAGGAAATGAAAAGAATGCCTACAGCCTTGAGACATTTTCAAACAGGCTCTGAGAACACAGCTGAGCTCAGGGTTAGTTTCTGGGCCTTCTCCTTTGCTCCTGCTGTGCTGCTTTGCACCTGGCCTGTGGTGTCCGGAGGGTGGGAGCTTTCTGAACTTCCTCTTTGCTTGTTTGGTTCACCACCTCCATGAGGTAGACTTTGCTGTCCAGTTGTTCACTGGCTTCATGGATTCCTTGCTGTGTCAAAACTCACAGGCAAAAGTTCTCTCTCTCTCTCTCTCTCTCTCTCTCTCTCTCTCTCTCTCTCTCTCTCTCTCTTCCCCCTTCCCCCTTTTTTTTCTCTCTGTTTTTTTGAGACGGGTTTCTTTATGTACTCCTGACTGTTGTGAAAGCAGGGTGGCCTCAAACTCAAGAGATCCTCCTGCCTCTGCCTCCCCAGTGCTGGAATAGTCTGGTAAATTTCCCTGTCTTGCTTGCAGCCTTTCCCTCTTGCCCATATCTGATTAGCTGGCTACATACCTGTCTCCCTTCTGAGTTGTTTAATTGTGATCCACAATATGTACTCATGGAATAGGGAAAAGTGAAAAGGCATGAGGCTGGAGCTAGGAGATTTCTTTATGTTTTTTGAGCAGAGTCTGTGCTTCAGTAAGTAGCATGCTGGTCACTAGTGTCAATACTAAGACTCAGTGTGTAACCATAGGAGGCCTAAGATGGCTAACAGACGGTTTAGCATCACGTCGTGTCAGCTGCACTTCCGCTTTTGTTTTTATCAAATCACTACAAAATGAGACTACACAGGATTACTTAGCAGGAAAATCTCCATGTTTTGTTTCAGACTCGTCAGAATGAAAGCGCTAGGCTGTGCTCACTCCAGAGCCACCACATCTCTGGGCAAGGCCATAGGGGAGGTTGCTAGATACGTAGAATAGTGGGAATTATTGCTTCTCTTCAGAAAGAAACAGGTCTGGAGATGTCGCTTAAAAGACGTGTGGGTTTTATGGAGTTGGTGAAGGTGATTAGAACCTGCTCAGTCACAGCAGCTGTGCCTGTGAGCAGTAGTACTACTTCCACACAGTTGGGTGCTCCTGACAATCTGCTCTGGAGGGAGCAGGGGCTCTCTGGGCCCTACCACTTGCTGCTGACCTAATGTGAATGAATAGATTTAGCAGAGTGGGAGGCAAAGCATCCAGTTGTGTATGTAGTCATTGCTGATTCAGGGTCACACAGATAGCCCTAGTTAAGCCCTGTAAGACACTAAAACAACAAAACAAAGCAATAAACTAGTAAATGGTGCTGGCAGAGGCAGTAGGGAAATAAGAGGGTTGTGTGTGTCTGTGTGTGATGGGAGAGAACCACAATGTATTATATACTTGTATGAAACTTTCAAAGGACAAACTATATTAATAATAAAAAGAATATCCAACAATAAACTAGGAACTGTAATCTATTTGTAAAATTGGTAACTGGAGTGGGAAACATTTTTATGCTATAGCATTTTATATTATGATTTTATCTTTGAATGTGAGTGCCTGCATGCTATCACATTAGTGTGGAAGACATCCTCTGGTGTCAGTCCTTGCCTTCTAGGCACTGTTAGTTGTTTTTCCTGCAGTGTGTACTAGGTTAGCTGGCCTGCATGCTTTAGGGCCTCTCTTTTTTCTGCATCTCATCTCGGAGTGCTAGGATTTACATGAGTTCCAAAGGTCCAAACTCAGGCCCTCACAGTTAACACTTTACATACTGAGTCATCTCCTCAGCTCTACATTTGAAACACATTTACATATAGATGCATTTTTTTTATTTAAAGGAGTGAGAAAAATAAAAGGTGTCTCTTTCTATAGTGACACTTTCTATAGTCTATGACCTGGTCAGAATGTGGGTTTGTTTGACTACATCTGGTGGGTGTAGAGGAGGTCCACACAAGCTTTGAGAGAGCTGAGGGATTAAATAGCTTTCATTGACACATGCTGTCTACTTATTTGTTCTGAGGGTGCAGGTGTCTCAGAATAGGCAAGCAAAAGCATGAATCATCTCTTTTGACATTTGTTGAATATTCATTCATTGTCTGAGTAAAAGGTGTAATGAAATGTTATGTATAAAAAAAAATGTGACATGCAGCCGAAAGGAATTTAGGATGCTTCAAGGCTGTAGTGGGGGTAGATATTCTACCAGTGGTCAGATGTTGCTGTGGGTCCCTACTTCAGCATGGTCACCAAAGTCTAGGGTGTCCTTAAAATAATTTCAGTAAGAATGAAATGAAGGGATCAAGGTTTGAAAGATGTATAAGAGGAAAATACTTCAGGAGATAAAGAGTGTTCCTTCAGCCTGAATTCCAGACAAAAGAGCAGAGAGAAGTAGGTGGCTCAGAAAGGGCACTGCATGCTTAGTAACTAGAGATTCACAGTTGTATTTAAAATTCTACATGTGCTCTTTTTTTCTAGAATAACACACAAAGTTTTTGCGAACAACACATCACTGTGGCTGTGCTCTGTGCACCCTCCGTGGGCCGAGCAGAGGAGGCTGTACCTGTGGCGATGGGAGAGAAGGGTCACCCAAGCCGAGTACTGCTGGAGTGCAGTCTCAGTGATAAGCTGTGTGGTAAGAGCAGACACAACTTCCTGTGATCTGATTCTGTAACAATAGAGACTGAGTTCTTGATGGTTCTAGAAGAGGAGGGCTGGTTTCATTTCTAGCAGGCATCATTTCTGTGGTGCAGGATACATGCCAATCAGAGATCAGGATAGAATAAATGACCCTCATTGGTCTAACATGCAGGGTTGCCCTCCATGGGCCTCCATTGAAGAGAATGAGGGAATACCAGTGTAGCTTGAATCTTAAATGGTCTTATTAATAAAAACAAACCTGGAGCCAGGTATTGGGGTGAATGAACACTGCAAGATCAGAGAAGCAGAACAAGCCACAGCTACCTCACCTTGCCAATTCCTCAGCTGATCCTGTTTCTTCAGACTGGAAGCCTCTGTGTCCTCATCTAAATGGGTCTCAGCTGAACTGCTGCTCAAAAGCCTAAAAGCTTAGCCAGCTCTAGTTCCTGGGTTTCACACCTTATATACCTTTCTGCTTTCTGCCATCACTTCCTGGGATTAAAGGCGTGAGTCACCATGCCTGGCTGTTTCCAGTGTGGCTTTGAACTCACAGAGCTCTGGATGGATCTCTGCCTCCAGAAGGCTAGGATTAAAGGTGTGAGTGCCACCATTTCCTGGCCTCTATGTCTGTCTAGTGGCTGTTCTGTTCTCTGACCCCAGATAAATTTATTTGGGTGTACAATGTATCAACCACATACCTGGAGCACTGAGATATGGTGGGTAGGAGGATCTTGCAGACTTCTTACTTCCTGTTTATTGCCTACACAGTTGTCCGAGAGCAACAGTATGAAGTAATCATTGTTCCAGCTCTTCTGGTTGGCGGCTTCCTTATCCTTCTTGCAATCATCCTGTGGCTTTTTATTAGAGGACAGAGATCCCAAAGGCAGCGCCCTGGACCCCGGGGTAAGGCTCAAACCGTGGAGCTAGGCATGGGCTCAGAGAAGATCTATTTTAAGAAAAATCATATGCTAAGGTCTCAATAGGCCCAATCTATAATCAGATCTTATGAATTATAAACCCAAGCTACTTACATCTTGCACTCCTAATGGTTTTCTCTATAACTGCTTCTAACTCTATAATGATCTAGTTCCTCCTTGACAAGGCAAAATGATTCATGAATGCCTTGACTGGTCTCTCAGTTCATATGCTTTAAGACCCTCCAATAGCTTGTTGTGTTCCACAGAATGGAAAATTGCAAGGTTCTTCCCACGGCCTTGTATGATCTGGACTCTCTCTGGACCTGTCTCTTATCTCTCCAGCCATCCCACTTGGCTTCCATCTGTACTGCCTTCCTTGCGGCTTCTTAAACACCCCATGTGCACTCTTTTCTTGGTGCCATCATACATCTTGGTCCATCTCCTACAGTGTCATCATGGTTTGCTCTGTAATTGCTTCTAGGCCTTTATTAAATGTTATCATATCTGAAAGGCCTTTTTTGTCTTTACCTCTATAGATAAAATAGTATCTCCTTTTGCTATTTTCCCTCATCCATTCTTAATGTTCTATGTCCTATGATTAGAAACTAACCTTAGGTGGATATGAACCGTGCCTATCCTCAACTCACAGACAATGTATGGCATATGGTGATACTTACTAAATCAGTGATTTATTTTGGTACCTTTGGTGGGGATTCCTTTTCAGACTTGTCCTGTCTCTGTGCTACATTCATGGAAACACTGAAGGTAATCCCAAGGATGATAAAAAAGAAACATGACCACTTTCAAGGGATTCATCTTTAGTTTTTCTATGAGTAATGGAATAATTGTGACTGTTGTAGAAGCTTAGTGGTGGTATTCATTCATTGAGAATCATCAGAAGATGCCCTTGTGTTATTCATTGAGAAATCTGACTGGCCAGTTTGTTAAGTCTGCTTTTCTGATATCCCTAAGGCAGGGGACAGCTGGTGGACATTGTCTCTTTGTTCTAGGTACTGCTTCTGTACCTGCATCTAGAGACCTAAGCCTGGATCCAGCAGGACAAGGAGAAAAGGTGCTTGTACCACTTAAGGAGACCTCTGTGGAGAGCTTTCTACGAGCAGCCTTGCCTCGCCTGGCTAAGCTGCAGGTGCCCAGGGAACAACTCTCAGATGTTCTGGAGAAGATCCACAGTGGCAGTTTTGGGACCTTCTATCATGCCATGATGACCACTAGGGACAACCCTAAGCCAAAGAGTGTTGTCCTCAAGGCTTTAGAAGGTAAAGTATGAAGATCAACTTCTCTCCTCTTTTACTCTCTACTGTGAGCCTATACCTGGAAATATTAACAGGAACTGCAAACAATAAGAGATGTATCAGCAGATATGCTTATTGTGTATAAGGGAAGCTTGATGCAGAGTTCTTCTTCCTGGGTATTTAGATCTCTACCTCATCCTCACCTACTGAAGCCTAAAAAGTAGACACTTCCATAGTAGATGCTACTTGGCCTAGGATTATGGGATTGTTTATTTTATTTTTTTACAGTTTGATATCTTTTCTTTTTAAATTAATTTATTATTAGCATGTGGTGTGTGTGTGTGTGTGTGTGTGTGTGTGTGTGTGTGTGTGTGTGTGTGTGTGTTTGTGTATGGCATGTACATGTGAGTGCCAATATGTGAGGTCAGAGGTTAACTTTCAGGTGTTGGTTCTCTCCTCCCATTGTGGGTTCCAGTGGCTGAAAAGTCATCAGGCTTCCATGTCACCAGTCACTGGCTTTCGCCATCTGAGCCATCTCTCTGGTCCTTATACTCTTCCCTGATATTGTGTCTCTTTCCCTTCCTCCACTTTCTTTCTCTCTGTATACACAATTAGCACTGGATACATAGAACATAAAACAAGGAAGGGCTAAACATAAGCAAAAGTGTCCATCAAAAAGCCCAGACAGTGATGTAATATGAACAGAACACTCAGGCAAGTGAAAACCTATCCAGGTCTAAGACCCCTGACTCTGTATTCTTTCTGTGACTCTGTATTATTTCTGTTAAAGTGACTGAGTATCACTCTCCTCTACATGGTCCCCCTCCTGTCCCCTTTCTGGCTGTACTTCCTCCACTTTTGGTCCCTCTTCCACAAGGGGCCTTGAACAACACATCTGCACGTGTCTTTTGCTTCTTGCCTCTTACTCGTCAGCTGCACTTGACTATTCACTGACCCAGTTCTTCTGTTTTCCACAGAACCTGCTGGACTCCAGGAGGTCCAGGATTTCATAGGGCGAATCCAATTCTATCAGTACCTGGGGAAACACAAGAACCTGGTACAGCTGGAAGGATGCTGCACAGAAAAGCTGCCACTTTACATGGTGCTGGAGGATGTGGTCCCAGGAGACCTGCTCAGCTTTCTCTGGACCTGTCGCAGGGTGAGCAGTAGGGAAAAGCTTTGATTAGCTTTTCATACATCAATTAACAGCACAAATGACAAAATATGCAGACAATGTCAAGGTGAAACAATTACCACTTTTGAATGGTACTATGACATGTAAGTATGAAATGATCATCACATAGCTAGGTGGTGTGGATGTGGCTCAGTTGGTACAATGTTTGTCTAGCAAAAGGTCCAGGGTTTGTTCTCCCAAACAGCATAGAACTGTGTGTGGTTGCATATACCTGTAGTTGCAGCACTGGGGAGGTCTTGAGTTTAGGCTCATTTTCAACTATACATCCATTTCGAAGCCGCCCTCAGCTACATGAGACCCAGACTGAAAAAACAGAAATCCCATATTTGTTATGTGCACAATTAGCCACAAGTGACATGTGACTATTAAACACTTGACATGTAGCAGGAGAAACAGAAAAATGAACTTTTTATTTTGGGCAATTTTACACACTGTGAGTTGAAATAGACACTCGTGACTGGTTACTTTCTTGTTAGGCAATGTATGGTTAAAGACTTGTTCTTGCCTCCACTGCCTAACTCTGACTTTGGCAAGGTGTTTTTTGTTTTGTTTTGTTTTTTGTTTTTGTTTTTTTTTGCTATTATTTGCGACAGGGTTTCTATATGTAGCCCTGGCTGTCCTAGAACTTGCCATGTAGACTAGACTGGCATTGAATTCACAGAAATCTGCCTGTCTCTGCCTCTCAAGTGCTGGGGCTAAAAGTATGTGCCATCATGCCTAGCCTGGAAAATTAATTCTGATCTGAGTTTTATAAATAAATTATCATAAAATGTCAAAGACATTATGTATGTAAAACATAGCAGCAATTGGTACTTAATAAGCAATCAAAATGATAGCTGTTAAAAATGATAATGACATAACAATATACCACTCTCAGTAATAACAGTTACTCTGTTATTAACTGCTAAGTGTATTTTCCATTCCATAAAAGCACCCTAGTGTGCCAGAGTTGACAAGGGAGAAACTCAGCTATAAGCATTTGTGTGTCAAAATCTTAAAAAAAAGAAATAGCTCATAAGTTTCTAGATTCGAATGGATCTCCTTTTTAAAAAAATTAATAAGGGAAAAACATGACAATTGGTTATCCAATACCAAATGGTCAGCCCTGAAAACATACACATTCAAGTAACATACAGACTGAGCAGATTGTATTTATATATTTATGAATATATACATATATATGCACATATGCAATAACAATTAAAGAAAAAGAAGCTATGAATTTGAATGAGAGCAAAGGGGAGGTAAACATGGGAAGGTTTAGAGGGAGGTAAGGGAATGGACAGATAATGTAATTATATTATAATCTCAAAAAGTGAAAAGTTATTAAAAAACAAAATAATACTACTAATAATATCCTTAGTTCTCTAAATGCTCCTCCTTGAAGAGCTGAAGAAACCAGTGTCTCTGGTTTCTCACTTGCTTATGAGCCAGCTCAAGATTAACTGAACCCCCAGACAGGCTGACCGTCACACATCTGGAAGTGTGTGGGAAAGGAGCCTGTGGAATGAAGTCTTTCCCCTGGGATGTGAAGAAGAGAGCGCAGACCCTGTCAGTTTAAACCTTTCAAGAGATTGTCTGTCTGCCACCAGTTCTGTGCTCTCACCAACATGCAACTTTCCAGTCTTCAGAGCCTCCATCTTCTCTACTTCAGATCATCTGCATCTGCTCTTCTTACAACTTGAAGCACCTTTCATGCAGCTTATGTCCACAAATCCTTCCTCTCCCCACCGTCCTCTGTCCTTGAGGTCGCTCTCACTTTCCTCCTACCACCACATGGTCTAGTAGAGACTGTACATTTCCTTTGTGGCCCTTACCATATGTAGCCATATATTTATTTACAGTTTTCTGATTCTAGTTCTCATGTCTGGCATTCAGTAAGTCTCGAAGGCATCAGGTTCAGATGAGAAACTGTACATAGTGAATTTTCTCAACTTCTTTTTTGTTTGTAATTTGAAATTTTCTGTAGATGAAATTCTAAACAGTCTTATTAAATAAGAAACACAGAGCCAAATGCAGAGTTAAAAGCCCAAAAGATCAGAGCACTAGCGAAGCCTTTAGCTTACCAGTCGCTGCTGTCCTTCCCCTGAGAGAGAGACCTTCTCCTGTGTGACCTGTCTTTTTATCGCCTTTCTGTTCTACCTTCTCATTGGCTCTAAACCCAACCACATGATTTTCTCATCACTGCCTGTCTATACAGACCTCCAGGTCTCTATGGTTTGTACTGAGATTAAAGGTCTGAGTCACCGCTTGACTGTGTCCTTGAACCCATAGAGACTCTGCCTGCCATGTGATCGGAAATAAGGGTGTGTGCCACCATCACCGGACTTCTGCTAACTGGCTTGCTTTTAGCTCTGACCCCCAGGCAACTTTATTTATTAACATACAAATAAAATCATATTTCAGCACAAATAAAATATCACCATATTTTTCTTTTTTAAAAAGTACGTTTTCTTCACTTTTGAAGACCAAGCTTTTAACAGGGAAACTGGCATAGGTAAGCCTTCCGTATAGCTGTGTTAATCATGTGCATGTCTGCACACACAGTCCCAGAACAACTGCTGCATTACTCAGTGCAGAGTGTCATCCCTGCTTATTTTTCTTGCCTACTGTTCAACTGCTTTCCTTAGCATTTCTGCAGTTCAGGGAACCCCGTTCCTCTGCGTATCTGAACATACCTAATGTTCCTCTCTTGATTACATATGTTTTCGGAAAGATTGCTCAGCAACTAAGAGTGCCTTCTGCTCTTGCGGAGGACCAGGGTTCAGTTCCCGGCACTACATGGAGGCCAGATGCCATTTTCTGCTCTCCAAAGACACCAGAGATACATGTGGTTCATATATTCATACATGCAGGCAAACATTCACACACATAAAAGAAACATAAATGCACCTTAATGTTTTACATTTCTCTCTCTCGTGTGTGTGTGTGTGTGTGTGTGTGTGTGTGTGTGTGTGTGTGTGTGTGTGTGTGTATGGGTGGGGAGCACATAGAAGTCAGAGGACTACTTGTGGGAGCCAATTCTGTGCCTCCACCAGGTGGATTCTGGGGTGGAACTCAGATCATCAGGCTTGGTGACAAGCACCCTCACCCTCTGGCCATCTCCCCAGCCCCTTCTCTTTGACTCTCGATCCCTGTATTTTTATGTTGTTCTTAGCTTTGATATCTCATTTCAGAGTTTCTCTACCACAATTTAAAAAAGAAAATATGTTTATGTCACTTTTATAGAACGGTTTTCTTTCCTCTGTCTCATTAGGATGTGATGACCATGGATGGCCTGCTCTATGATCTCACAGAAAAACAAATATATCACATCGGAAAGCAGGTCCTTTTGGCCCTGGTAAGACCAGCATAAGTGGAAACTGATGGTTGGATTTTCTCATCAGCCTAGTATTTATGCTGTGTTTCCCACACTAACAATTCTAAATGGGGTATATATCTTTATGACAGTTAGATAAAGTCAGGGAAAGACTATTCACCGACAGTGTTTTTTAGCCCCTTATTTATGAAATTATTCAGGTAACACAGTGCAGTATAAGGCATTCCAGGCAGAAGACAGTCAATTTAGGATTGATACAGTGAGCTAGAAGGATGTGAAAGTTTACTTAGCTTAAATTTCAAAAGCCAGGGTCACAATTAATTTGGTATTTGAACTTGTACACATGTAAAAGAAGAAACAAGGGAAGCAAGATGGAGGAGATATGAGGGAGGAGAGTAAATGGGTGAAAGGATAAAGAAGGATGCAGATTTATACCTGAAAAACAAGACGGACTAGCTCGGATTGTGTTTGGGTGGAGACTTGCTTTGATAAGAGATGTGATATGAAACACACACACACTGTGTGTGTGTGTGTATATATATATATATATATATATATATATATATATATAAAATAAGGAGCAACGGGAACAGGAAAAAAAGAACAGGAAAGGCCAGCTGTTCTTCTATTTTTAAGCCAATTTAAAAAGGTTTAAAGAATTTAGGGTTTCAGAAAAAAATTACCTTTGTCAAAATTACTCAGGAAGTATATAACTATGTCTGTGAAGTTATTTGGTTGTATTTCAAATGGATATTTTCTATAGAAAAATCAGGGCTCTGTGAAACTATGATTTTAAGTTTCATTGAATTTTGCTACCACAATGTGTGAAATGGATCAGGGTCTAAAGGGACTTTTGTGTGTATGTGTGTGTGTGTGTGTGTGTGTGTGTGTGTGTGTGTGTGTAGTGGTGATAGTATGGGGGATTGAACTCATGGCCTCTTACACAGCAATAGGTGCATGCCTGGTCCACCAGGTATTTAAATGAAATTAGGAAAAATGGACTCAGAAGGAAGCGATGGGAGAAAAGAGAAGTAGTTCTGGTTGGAACTCCCATTGGATGGAGAGAGAAGCTATTGTCTTCACTTCTTGGAGGGTGTAGTCAAAGTGTTGCTAAGCTGTGAGCTTCAGCCTTCCTTGCCTCCTGAATTATAAATGCAGAGGTATCTATCCTACAGGGCTATACTGATCAAACTGATGCATCCATCAGGCACCTGTATCACCTCTCACGGGGCAAGGCTATGTTTTTTGTTGTTATCTTTAATGACCTTAAATTTAGTACATGTAGCTAGAGTTTTCCTGCCTGGCCCACAGTCAGGACAAATCTCTCTCACCTGCCAGTCCCACAGCCACTCAGACCCAACCAAGTAAACACAGAGACTTATATTGGTTTCAAACTGTATGGCCGTGGCAGGCTTCTTGCTAACTGTTCTTACAGTTTAAATTAATCCATTTCCATAAATCTATACCTTGCCACATGGCTTGTGGCTTACCGGCATCTTCACGTGCTGTTTGTCATCATGGCGGCTGGCTGTGTCTCCTTCACCCAGCTTCCTGTTCTCTCAATTCTCCTCTCTGTTAGTCCCGCCTTACTTCCTGCCTGGCCACTGACCAATCAGTGATTTATTCATTGACCAATCAGCAACACATTTGACATACAGACCATCCCACAGCAAGTACATTCTTCAGTTCTTCTCATTAGAGTAAAATTTCCTTATATATTCTTTAATTCAGCTCATCATGTTTAATTTCTTTGTTCTAAAAATTTCCAAGGGACAGAAAACCACACTCATGGTCTCCTTCTTCATCAGTGACTGGAATCTGTCACTTTAACCCTCTAAATTTCCCTTTTCTGTCCGTGTTTGGTAATGGGAGCCCCAGATCGCTGGCTCTTCAGTCATGCACAGCTGAGTGGTTTCATGCCAGAGGAGGTGATCCAGCACAAATCACCAACTACCGTGACTTCCACCTGCTTTTCTAACCACACCAGAATCCTTTGATCCTTTATACTTCAAGTCACTACCTCTCTCTTTCTAGATGGTGGCTTAGTAAATCTGTGCTAAAAGTCTTAAAGTTTGTTTTTACAAGGTCTTAGAATTTTGATCTGGAGCCTGGCTTCGGAACTATTAGTGGACTGGTAGAGTCTGTGGCACTTTCTGAGTTAAGAGACTGGCCTCTGGTTACAATCACCTTCTGCCTTCCTTTGTGTTTGCCTTAAAGATACTTCCTTAACTTCATCTAGTTATGAGGATAGAATGAGATGATATGAACCTTTCTATAAATTTGTGACATGGCATTCAGCTTTTCTGTGTGCTTTGATCTCTGTTCCAGAATTGACCTGAGTACCATTGGAAGGGAAAATACAATCAAGAGAGGCTAGGGTTGACACAGCGCATGTGATCATGCTTTCAGAGTCCAGTGCTAGGGGTGGGCATGCAGCACAGCCGCAGAGTGCTCACCTAGAACAAGGAAATGCCAGGATCCATCTTTAGCACTGGAGGGAAACCCCTGTGTTAGTGCCATTTGGATCATTCCCTGAGTTTGGTTATCCTAAAAATACAGTGAAAAGGTCTAATCCCTTATCCTGCTTTGGAAATGATCTCATTGATTAGTAAGAGTGTTTGGAGCAGAGAAGGCCCTTGTCTTTTCAAGGCCACCCAAGACTGTCTTATTTGTGAACTTTGACTTTCAGAAGGCTGATTACCTTTGATCATATGCTGATAGGAATTCCTGCAGGATAAGCATCTATTTCATGGGGATGTGGCTGCCAGGAACATCCTGATCCAAAGCGACCTGACTGTCAAACTCTGCCGACTGGGCCTGGCTTATGAAGTCCACACCCAAGGAACCATCTCCTCTGCTCGAACCAGCACTGTGCCTCTCAAGTGGCTTGCTCCAGAACGGCTTCTCCTGAGACCTGCCAGCATCAGAGGAGACATGTATGTCCCCACTCTTTCATTTCTTCTCTTTGAGGCTTGGTTTTCCCCTGGAACATAATCAATTATGTCTGCAAATGAGAGCTCTATTTGAAATCTGACATACTCCCAAGCAAAGATATTTGTCATTTGCTTTCAATCATTTTTTAAAATGCTTTTTCCAGTAGTTCTTGTGAATTAGAGTGGCAGCTTTTGTTAGAAAAGAAAAAAGTGAAAATATTATTCAAATCAGTGTTGGAGGATTTACCTTAGCCTCCTTGCTTTAATCTTTAGGCCATGCATGGTTCCACTTAAAAGCCAGGGAATGAAGAATTTGAAATAAAATATTTATACGTGTTTTAAGTCACTTCTTTTAAAAAAATTACTTATTTATTTACATGTGCCTGCATGAGTTTATATGCACCATGTATGTATAAGAGCTCTTGGTAGCCAGAAGAAAGTATTAGATCTCCACAACTGGAGTCATAGGAGGCTGTGAGCCAACACATGTGTGGTAGCAACTGAACCCAGGTCCTCTGCAGGAGTAGTAAGTGCTCTTAATCCCTGAGCTATGTTTCCACTCCCAAATCACTTTTTAAGTGAAAACTTTTGCATGCATATTTATCAGACTTTTGAAGGAGAAAAAAAAATCTACATTTTGTGAAGGGTCTTGAACATGCAAATACAGCACATAAGCCATGATCCTTTTGTCTTCACCTCTGAAGTGCAGGGGTCACACATGTATACCAGTGTCCAGATATAAATTGTGCTTCTGGTCTGAATAGCAGCTGTAATGATGACTAATGGCTGGATGCCACTTTGAGACGGTTCTTAGTACATACAATGAGAGAACTGAAAATATTTGTGAAACAACCTGAGACTTTTATTGTTTCCCTTCTCATTTTTTTTTAAATTTTTGTTTTTTTGAGACAGAGTATCTTTGTGTAGGCTTGGCTGTCCTCAAACCAGCTCTGTAGACTGGGCTGACCTTGAACTCACAGAGGTCTGCCTGCCTCTGCCTCCAAAGTGCTGAGATTAAAGGCATGCACTACCACTGCCTGGCTCCCCCTACCTCATTTTCTAGTTGACTCATCTGTATAATTTTGTAACACGTTATTCATTTCTTTTTTTTTCCAAGTTACTTGGGGGTGGGAGTAGAGTTGAGACAAGGTCTTCTATATACCCCTGGCTATCCTGGAACTTACTATGTAGAAAAGTTTGAACTCACAGAAATCTGACTGCTTCTGCCTCCTATGTGCTGCAATTAAAGGCATGTACCACTCACTACACATGCCTCATTTTTGTTTTGTTTTGTTTTAAAGACAGTCTCCCTGGGTAGCCAGACTGTCCTTAAACTAGTGGTGGAACTATTAAGGCAACTCCAAGTAGTTAAAAGAGAGGTTTATTTTGTGGGGTAACTTACAAGTAAAGGGATAGGTTACAGGGTTCGGGAGAATGAAGTGCAATCAAGCGGTGTTCTCTGGAGAACTCTGCCTGGTCTACATCCAGCATCCAGGATCCAGGAATCAAGAGAGCCAGCCCATCTGGATCTCAGGTCTTAAGGGCTTCTGTCTCAGCCCTGCCTTGTAGGCGTGACAATTACTGGAAGCCTCAATGGGGGTAGTACTTCCAGGTCAAAACTGGACCAGCTACCCACTACAGACCCTCCTTCATCAGTCTTTCAATGTTGGGATTATAGCTGTGTACTACTATTGCAGGACATTTTCCTTTTAGCAGTATACTCTTACAGACTAGTTTTAAAACATTCAATTCATTTTTAAAAGATATATCTTATGCAAATATTTAAGTATCTTCTATAGCATTTAATGATCGATTAACTATAATTACATACACAATTGGTATAATCAGGATAGTAAAGACTTGAAATTGATCTTTGGAAATTATATACCTCAACTGTTTGAAGAGGCACACAAATTCAATGCAAAATGCCTTCCCTGGTGTCCATATCACAGGAGGCAGTGGGAATTTAAACATCAGCACAATGAGCCAGTTAGAATGCTTCCACTGATATATCACTGATACCTGCCTTTCAACAAACTGTGGGCAATTTTACTTATAAAATGTCACTCATTTAATGATGGTATCAATAGTGAAGGATGTACCTCTCAAATCATGTTGATTAGCCAAATTCCCTGTCCAAATGTCTGAAGTTTACTAATACTTTTTCTAGATTTGGGTAAATAGATCTACTGAGAAAGCTGTGGTTAAATGAAGAATCCCTCTTTGCTTTGTGCTGAGTAAAGGTTAGAGTTTGAGCACAGAGGGAAGAATAAGATGAAAAAAGAGGGGCATTCTGTTTTAGTGAGTGGATTTGTGATTGTACGCTCATATATTAATAACAACAACAAACATGTGTTATGAAGAAGGGACATAAACTCAACTCTTAAAGAGATGAGATTCTGGGGACACAGACAAGAATATTCTCTAAAACCCTGTTACTTTGCCTCTTTTGAAAACACTTCAGCTCTCTTTGACTCCTTCATTTCCCTGCTGATGTTAAAGTAAGCTTTCTTTAGATAAAGGTAGAAATTAAGTGGATGGCTTATGTTTCTTTTACAGCTGGTCCTTTGGGATCCTGCTTTATGAGATGGTGACTCTAGGTAAGGATGACCTCCAGGCGAACAAGCAAGCTTGCTTATTTGGAGGGTGGATGCTGTAGCCTTGGAGAAAGTGTTTTCAGACCAGGACAGATTGCACTGGGTTGACATGAATTCTGAGCCTCTTTCCTCTAAAATCTAATAAAATGATGATCCCCTTTCTTCTCTCTCCCTCTCTCTCCTAGACCTTCCTTAACTTACTTTAGCTCTCCTTTTCCCCCTCTCTTTCCCCCAAACCATACCAACTCCATAGCATGTTTTCAAACCCAAAGGATAATTCTCATAGCAATCTTATATAAACATAAGAATGTTTCCTCAAGTTTATTAATATATTCAGTTTAGAAACTGTAGCTCCTTCTGTGTTGTGAGAAGTGGAAGGCAGTTCCCAGTTTCTGTTTTGCCTTGTTTTATTACTTTCCTTAACACTCAGCATCTCCTAATGTTACCTTTCTTCTCGAAAGCATCTCTTCTGAAATCTACTGCATCCTTACACAATCAGCAGGAAGCAACTATACTGTACACAGTATTTCCCCATGGCTATGATTTAAAGGCCACTGTCTGAGGTCAATGAATATTGGAGTTATTTTCACTTCATATTTAGAAGGTCTCTTGCTGCTCTCACTTTTTTTATATTGACAGGGGCACCACCATACCCTGAAGTCCCTCCCACCAGCATTCTACAGTATCTTCAGAGAAGGAAAATCATGAAGAGACCCAGCAGCTGCACACATGCCATGTAAGTGGCTCTTAAAGGCTTGAGTTTCTGTAATTCCAAATCACGTTTTCATCGCTATTAACTACACCCTTTTCAGTGTGCCTTAGATGATCGTTAGTTGTCTTTATATGCTAATGCATGGCCTTAAATGAAGCATGAGGCAAGACAAAATCAGTTCTGCTCAACAACTGTATCAGTCACTTTTCTAATTGTTGTGACAAAATACCCAACAGAAACTGCTTCAAGGAAGAAAGGTTGACTTTGTCTCATTGTTCCATTATAGTGAGGAAGGCAGAGCAGAGGTGCTCAGTCTGTGGCTGTAGAAGCACATAGACAGATTGTTCAAATGCCTGTGGACCAGCAGGCAGTAAACAAAGGCTGAAATTAGGATGGCTATAACTTTCAAAGGCTTCCCCTGGTGCCAAAAGCTGGGGAATCAAGCACTTAAAATGTGGGCCTGTGGGGGACAGTTCAAGCTCAAGCCATAAATATGTCATATATGGGTATTGATCAATATGCATATATGATATACACTTATACATTATATGTACATTACACATACATTACACACATATATGTGTATATATGTATATATACAAACATCCTCATATACAATTTTGAGGCAACCCCTGAGGACTCTAATTTTTGCTTTCACAAGAAGCCTTCAGACAAAGGACCTGGCCTTAAAGAACCTAATACTCTGATGAGAAGATAGTTCAAACATGAGATGATTAAAAGCCCCACCCATCACACCATAGAGTGGAACAGACAATTTACTCCTAGCCCTGTTACCTTATTGCACTGCATGGTGGAAAAGGAAGAGTTCTTCTGTCACTTTGTAGTCTGAAAAGTCTCCAGCTTTCTATTATAAAAAGAAATCATGCTGAGAGAATGTTGAGAGACTTGATAGAAAGAGAATGGTAGAGTACCACTCTCTGGAAATACAATGGGAGACAGGGCAGAAAGATCAAAGGGCTGAGGGCTTTTAGTTTGTTCTTGAAGAGGAACTACATTCCTTTTACATTCCTCTCTGTTGTCTGCATCTCAGGTACAACATCATGAAATGCTGTTGGCAATGGAGTGAGAACAGCCGTCCCTTACCTGGAGAGCTACGCTTGCGCCTAGAAGCAGCGTCTAGATCTGCGAATGACAAGGCTGTGTTGCAAGTGCCAGAGTTAGTGGTGCCTGAACTGTATGCAGATGTGGCTGGCATCAGTGCAGAGAGCCTTTCCTACAGCTACAGTGTCCTTTGAAGATGCCCCCAGACAAGTGCTTGAATTAAGTTCCTTCAAGAACAGAGGGAAGGAACCTTCTATGGGCCACAAAGGGAAAAAAAGGACATGGATCCCACATCTTCCCCTATACATTTTCCGGAAATATGAAATGCTGCTGGATGAGGCTCTACCTCTACACACCATGTACTCAAGACTCACCATCAGTTTGTCTGCTCCCCAATTCCGAGGGCCTGAGCACAAGTGGTGGACAGTGTCATTCCAAAGGAGGTTTTTAAAATCTTCAATAATTGTTGGGGGATAGGGTAAAAGGGCTGGTCCCACCCACCCCAGGCTGGTTTTCAACTAAAAGGTTTTTTTTTTTTTTATCTAAACTATTACAGAGTATAAATAAATCTGAATGGCATGAATGAATAGGAACACAATATAGGAATTCATGAGAAAGAAAATTCAAGGTTCTTTTTTTCTGAGAAGTATAAGGGGAATCAAGATCTCCTTTAAGAAGAGATTTTCTTTCTTCTACATTCAGGGGACATAAAAGTTGTTCAGTCCTCATCCCTTCATGAAGAGTTGGAGAAGAACTATGAAAAATAATACTGAATTTTTCCTTGACTATAGATTGAACTTTTATTGAACTCTTTTATTGAACTCTGAGACAGGTGGACCCTGTTTGATACTACATTCAATTAGATGCAGGAGTCATTTCATAATTAAGAACATTGTTCATGACATTTGCTTGCTAGTCCTGTTAGACTAAGGAGAATAAGTCTAAAGAACCAAAGTTAGATCTAGTGATGGTGTGTGTATGTGCAAGAGAGAGAGAAAGAGAGAGAGAGAGAGTGTGCACGCACGTGCGCCCAATGAGTTGGAAGCATGGAGACCAAGCAAGAAGATTTACTAACCCAGGTGGTCATTAAGAGGTGCCAAAGAAGTAATCTGATAGGGATGGGTGGTAACCTCTAATTTTCAACCATCCACTGAAACACTGTGAAATAACCCGTTAAATTAGTATTTATTGACTAGAAGTAGACTTTTCTGGTGTATAGCTGTCACAATATCTACAATGGGGAATAGAAAAGAAAATAAGTGGGAAATAATTTTAATAGAAAAATTGAAGAACATACATTGTCCAAAAACAGATTCTTTGTGTGTAAAATGAGAAGACTATCTACCTCACAGAGTGGTGTGAGGGTCAATGAGAATATGTATTTGTATAATATGTGGCATATAATTTGTGCTCAATAAATGTTAGTTTCTTTTTTTCCCCCTAACTCATGATATTTCTTTTCATTTTTTTTAAGACATAACATCTACTGTGGCCAAGAAGAGAGCACTGGCTTGTGATAGTACAGGGCAGAACATGTCTAGAAGATGGCAGTATGTTACAAGCACCACATTATTAAACTAGGATCACATTTTGTTTATTTTCCAACATTGAGAACTGAAGCCAGGGCTTTACACACACAAGGAAGTGATCTACACTGGTCTTGAGCCATCGTTGTTTGTATGAGGTTTTGGCTGATGACAGTAGTCTCCTATGATTTCAAATTACTGTAAGTATTACATTGAGGACAGTTCTGTTTACACGATGATCTGTGACTTTGCAAGAACACCCTGATACCTTTAGAAGGATTAGGAAAGCTATCATAGACAAGATGACTGGCAGCTGAAAACGGACACAACTGAATCAACTGAAATCTTGATGTAGTCATAATGACTCAGCTAAATAAGGAATGTTTCTCACTGTGGAAACACCACAGTGAGAAGTCAGGATTTAAGCAGGCTAGAGAGAGAAAAAGGATGAGATCCAATTGTTGCCTCCCAGCTGTTAATTTGAGCCATTGTATGAAGTATTTCCCTTATTTGAATATTTAAAAATGTTGAGTGTCAAAGCTTGCTGTGCCAGACAGTGGGAAATGTGTTGGACAAAGAAACTGGGAGCTTTGAATATAGTCAGGCAGGATGTATTTAGGTGTGGCTGCCTGCTAATTAAAAACTTATGTTATGAATGAAACCTGTGGGGTTGTAGAGGGAGTGCAGAGTGAAGACCTCTCTGAATACATGGTATTTAAACCGAGACCTTAGGGAAGGGTCAGGTAGTCATGGGAAGAGTAAAAAGAACTCTCCAGGGGTGGGACTTGTATGACAACTTTGAGGTAAAAAGAACCAGTGTGGGGCCTCGGAGATGGTTCAGTGGATAAAGTTCTTGCCATGAAAGTTTGAGGAATAGAATTTGGATCCCCAGTACCCATGTAAAAAGTCAGATATGGCCGCATATATCTGTAACACTAGCATGCTGTTGATAAGAGGGAAGTGAAGAGAGGAATCCCCAGAAGCTTGCAGTCGGGCTAAATGGTATACTCATACAAGACCCAAACCTAAACAAGATGGAAGGCACCCAAAAGATGTCCTGTGACCTCCATATGTTCTGTGGCATAGACCTGACAAACTTGCTATACACTGAACACATACATACATAAACATGCACCTATAAAAAACAAAGCCATAATCATAACCAGAAAAAGCATTACACAGGTGAGGTAATCAAAAGATGTCTACAGGATTGTAGCATGTGTGTTAAAGAGGGAGGAAACACATAATGAAATGAAGGGTAGCTCACTCTTTCTTTCCTTCTTGGGTATGTGCTGATTGATGGAGGGGGCCAGGAAGGTCAGAAGGCTGTATTGAATTCCCTGGAGCTGGAGTTACTGGTGGTTGTGAGTTGTCTGTCATACATCGTGGGAACCAAACTCAGGTTCTCTGTATGTAGTCATAACTATGAGCAATCTCTCTCCAGCTCCATTTCACCATATTAAATGAAGAAAAAGTAGGTTAATAAAATTATTAGTGTACATTAATAGAATTTTCCCAATCTTACTATAACAATTTATAAAATGATTTACCATGCTCAATGAAATAAGACAAACACATAGAAACAAAAACATAGAAGACCAGAGGATAGCTTATTATCTTCAATTTAGTAGAATGTGATTGTTTGAATGTAAGTTAAAAGTTATGTTGTGTGTTTAAATTATGTGATATTGTTATATGTTTGTTGTAACAACTCTTTCTCTGTCCTGCCAGCCAGCTCCCAAACAATGACACAGAGACTTATTATTAATTATGAAAGCTCAGCCTTAGCTTAGGCTTGTTTTTACCTAGCTCTTAGAACTTAAATTAACCTGTTTTTATTAATCTATATTCTGTCATATACTGCCCATCCTATATCTCCCATGTCTCCTGGCATCTCCTTTGCATGCCTAAATTCATCCCCAGTTCCTCCCTTTGCCTGGAAGTCCTGCCTGTTCTCCCTGCCTAGCTATTGGCTGTTTAGCTTTTTCTTAAACCAATCACAGGGACATACCTTTATAAAGTGTAATTAAATACCTCACAACAGTTTGCCTCCCAGCTGTTCCAGACCTAATAATGCAATTAAGTCTATCAAATCATGGTAATCAGTGATCCTGCCTGGTAACCAGTGGTGTATGTGGATTTGGTGTTTCAGCATGATGGGGATTTATTTGAAACACATTGCTATCAAGTGGCAAAAGACATGCCTAAAATACACAGAGAAACCTAAGATGGAATAAAAGACAAAGGTGAGTGGATGGATAGGGACAGAAATAGATCACCACACTTTGGTTTTTCCTTCTTAAAATGTACCAACTTTAGTATGTTATATTAGACTGTATACTACTGTTGCTACACAGATTCATTTTTACTAAAGGAGACAGCTCTGACATTTGATTTTATAAGTATATAAAACCAATTACTGATACAAAATGAAAATATAAGTTTATTACCTGCAGTGTTAATCATGATACGGTTAGAGAGTGTTTCTGAAAATTGGAAGAGGGAATGATTTGGTCCCTTTTTTTTGTTTTGTTTTTTTTTTTTTTTTTGTTTTTTTGAGACAGGGTTTCTCTGTATAGTTTTGGTGCCTGTCCTGGATCTCACTCTGTAGACCATGTAGGAAGAGAGCTGCCTGGCTCTGCTTCCCAAGTGCTGGGATTAAAGGCGTGTGCCACCACCGCCCAGCTTATTTGGTCACTTTCAATAGACAAAAAGATGTAGATGGGGATGGGCAGAGAAGATATGAAAAAGATCCAAATAAGAGAATTCTATACAAAGAAAAAAAAGAAAAGCCCACCAGAGCATTTAAGACATTAACAGCTCTCAGGAAGAATCACATCTAACAAAGGCAGGTTTGTGGTGCACACTTGTAATACCAAAAGTTGGTCAGGAGTTTAAGGCCAGGATAGGTTACATAGGTGAGTTTAAGGCTGGCTGGAGCCCATGAGACGCTGCCTCAACAAAAAAAAACACAACCAGAAATGAAAGAACTATATAAGTGCAGAAACACTTGAGTGGAAATAATTATCAACAAATAGTGTACATTAAACCATCAAGCCTCACTTTGCATTGCAGTCAGGAATGTTTGTTTTCTGCTTCAAAACGATTTCACAAGGTGTTGTGAGGTTGACCACAGTGTTGGTTGGCAAAGGCAGAAACAGTCCTTCAGTTTCACATAAGTGATAAAAACATTTATTTTCACACGTAAACTGTGACAATGTAATTACCCTAATTTGGAACCTACAGTAGCTGAGAAAAGAAAACATTCACAATATATTTTTACTACTTCCAGTCCAATTAATTATACCTGGAATTCTTACATAACTGTTCTAACCAACATGAGAAACACTAGCCATGTGTGATATTTAAATGTTAATGTAAGTTAATCAAAATTAAGAATTCTTTTTCCCCAGTCTCACTAGCTGCTGTGGGATAATGCTTTTGTACACTGGTTTAATAAAATGCCGACTGGCCAGTAGCCAGGCAGGAAGTATAGGCAGGATAAACAGATAAGGAGAATTCTGGGAAGAAGAGGAAGGCTGAGGAAGGCTGAGGAAGGCTGAGGAAGGCTGAGTCAGGAGACACCAGCCTGCCATCCAGAGAGAAGCATGTAATGGCACACAGGTAAAGCTATAGAACACGTGGCATTATATAGATGAATAGAAATGGGCTGAGTTTAAATGTAAGAGCTAGTCAGTGGTAGGCCTTAGCTAATGGCCAAGCTGTTTTAATTAATGTAAGCCTCTGTGTGTTTACTTGGGTTTGAGTGGCTATAGACTGGTCGGGACATAGGAAAACTTTCAGGAACAACTAGCTGCACTTAAGAGCTCAGTAAACAAAACACTTTCCCACATCCCTGGTGTCTACCATCTGAGAGTACAAAACACAGTGCTCTGTTACTTTTTAATACTGATCACAATGCAAAAGTTCCTATTTTGGTACTATCCTGACCTACAATATGAAGAGGTAGGTAATATAGTTTTCTATTTTATCTTAAAAACTTGTAGGGTTCTACAGGACCTAAGGCCCCTGAATGAGGCTTTCTGTAGAATTCAGTGAAAGGGATTATAACTAATACTTTCACAGGTGCTATGAAAAACTGTCCTTAAGTTTCTGTGAATTATTTTTATAATAAGTCAGGCCCTTCTAGGTTTAAAATTTCTAGGTTTCACATCTTAGAAAACTCCTCAAACCTGGGAAAACTGGAATGGTGAGTCACCTAGTGGTAAGATGCTGTGAATTATGTTTCTAATGTATTTTCCTAAATAGCAGCCTACTATGAGAGTGAGTAAATTTTGTAACAATTACATAACTATTCAGATGACTGAAGAGGCTGAGCGGTGGTGGCACACACCTTTAGTCCTAGCACTTGGGAGGCAGAGGCAGGTGGATCTCTGTGAGTTTAAGGCTAGCCCGGTCTGTCTACAAAGCAAGTTCCAGAAAAATCGGGCTTCACAAAGAAACGCTATCTTGGAAAATAAAACAAAACAACAAAAGACAAAACAAAAAGAAAAAACAAGGACCAATGAGAACCTGCCTCAACTTGCCTTGAAAACGACTCCACTTTCTCAAATCCTGCATTCTAGTTACCTATTAATTTCAAGTGTAGAAATTGTGGTTTTTGGCTTTCTCCAAACACACACATTCACACCACTGTGCCTTACTTTAGGTCATCCTTTGAATGAAACGCTTGTCTGTACTGCAGGACATTCACAGAATTTGCTCATCAAAAAGCCACTTCAAATAACATACCCTTTATAAGCCTTCTTTAATATTCTTGTTTATAAATTTCTAACTCCACCTACAATAAAACCACTTGCTTTTTTTTTGTACAGGGATGCTTTATTGCATATATGCTGTATGTAATACTAATTGCTTCCCTGTGCTGATGTTTGCTTTATATGTTTGCATTCTTTTT